TTATATATGAACGCATTATTTTTTTTTTGCAATGTCACGAAAAAAACAATGAACTTACATTTTTTTTGTATATTGTGTATGATGAAAGATTTATTTATCTAATGAACTGACCGTTTATTATGCTCTTTTCTCTTGCTCTATTTGTTCCTCTCTTATTAATTTCCTTCTAATCGGGTTAGTTGTCTTTAATATTGCCTTCATTTCTAGCGCTCTCTTTAATCATGCAAATACTAAGATTAATGCTCCTCGTTCCATTAGTGTAGAGACAAATATTGGAACGCGTGTGTTTAGAAGATTTCCGTCACACGAGCATCTTTCCTTCTTTTTTTTTACTGTCGTTGCCATCGCTGTCGTCTTAATGATCAATATGTTTGTGCGTGTATGACACAATGATGATGAGTTGTTGCGCATGCTGATTTAAACAAAAGTCAACTAGCGAGTAGATCACAAAGTTTTCTTTGATAATATCACGTAAGATAACTAGCGGGTGGAAAAAAACACAAATGTATACTCATTTTCTTCTTAGTTCTCTTAATATAATTCAAGAGTTAAACAACTGTCTCTTGATTTTTGTCAATGTCACTAACTATATTGTTGACTAATTGAAATAGTTAGTCTATTATTCTTTTCATTATTTGATTCAATTCTTATAATTATCAAGTTCTATAAATAATTATTTCACATACATATGATAGTCAAAGAGAAGAAGAAAAGGTCATGTTTTAACTTAACCGAGATAATATAAAATATTAAAAAAAAGAAATAACTAAATTGTTTAAGTCAATGAATAGTTATTATATTTTAGATTTATTCAGATTGTTACAAGAGTATAAATAAGAATAGTTTATTTAATATCAAATACAAAGTAGAATTTTCGACATTTAATATTATTATATCAACAGATCATCATTACGTACAGATAACTAGATCTTCAAATGATAAGAATAAATCAACACCTAGTAAATATTTTTCTCAATCTATCTTTTATTAAACTTACTTGATATATTAGCAATTAAATAAACTTGTGTTTTTGCTCATATTCATTATTGAAAACACTGATTTGATGATTATGTTATACACTAGATATCTTGTGATAGAATGTTTTTTTTCGATGAAGATATTTATTATTGATTATATGTCATTGCATATATTTATAGTAATTCATGTTTATGGTTTACTAGATGTTGATTTATTCTTGTCATTTGAAAATCTATTTATCTGTACTAATGATGACAACTGACATAACAACAGACAAAGTCGAAAAATTTTACTTTTTTATTTGATGTTAAGTAGATTATTCATATTGCTGCATGCTTAATTTTTCTCAAGTTGTCTTTCATTAAACTTGTCCCAAAAGTAATCGAACATTAAGTTGACATGTAATGGTGTTCTATTCATATAGAGTATTCAAAGATACAGCTGATGTTTTCTCTTTTTTTTGATACAGATATTTCCATACTTTAGACGGTATGGATGTTAAGATAGTCGGAAGATATCTCAAATGATCGTATAAAATTTTTTCTTCTGACGAGAATCGGAACAAAGAAAAACGAGGAATCGACGTGGCAACATATTACGGAGTTTTATTTCTTTTTATATTGTAACATTTATTTCTCATCAATGACAAAAACAAAATCTTTAAAGCTGTTACCTTTGATACAGACTATTTAGATCTACTATTAGTGAAAATTCTATTCAATTCTCTTTAGATAGAACTGAGCTATTTAGAAAATATTGACCGTTACGGCATTTCAAAAAAAAACGAAATTCTTTTGTTGATGAAGTTGAAACTTCAGCATTTCACTAAGGGATGAAGAGACATACAAATGAATTTTCTATATAAAAGTTATCCAATTTTGAAATGCTTTCAAAATATCAGTTCATTTCTTAACAAGGATAAGGGCATCAAATGGCAAACTGAAAATTGTATTCGTTACAGAACCTGATTCTTTTCTCAAAAATCGCAGCTTGGATCAGGATGACAGCAAAAGCAACCAGATATTTGTCACCAACATTGGGTTTCACATCAGATGGTGTATTTTGCATTAGAATCCAACGAAAAAAACAAAAACTTTCAGTGTTTTTATCCGAGAAAAATAAAATTTGAAATTTCAATTAACTAAATACTTCATTTTGTTCAGAATTCGATGTCAATTCGAAATACATGCATACTTATGAGCCAAAAAAACAATACAAAACGGTTTTAGTGCTATAAAAAGCCACAAGATTTGGATATTAATAAAATTTCATGATGTAGTGTTTTTAGAATACGAATGTAAATATTAAATCAAACTGCGCTCTGAATGGAAGTGTTAGGTGGAACTTGTTGAATTCTACTTGCCGACATCATTTTTGCTGCGAAAATTAGCAACATAAGCAAGTCTCGTTAGGAAATTTCATAAAAATAAAGATGTCTGTTGAATATATCATCATGGTTCGTAGACATTTAACATTTTTTTGAAAGGTTATAATTTGAAAGAGTACTTCATTGACGATGAAGAGTTTCTTCTGCTCATTAGTCCTTGTTTGGTGGTATCTTTCACCACTACCATCTCCTTCACAAATACTCAAGTTGTTCAATCAAAAAAAAAGACTTCTTTTGGCTAAAGCATTGAACGCTATGTGAGAATAGAAACGATTTCATTTCAAATACTATCAATGGTTGTCTTTTGTAGTAGTAGGTTCAGCTTTGTTCAATTTTCAGTTAAAAACCTTCCTCAGGCGTTGAAGATCAATGACTGACCATGCCGGAGTATCAATCATATCTATAAGCAACAATAACTGTAAACTACTTTTCATTTGATATATGACTGATGTTTGCACATAATGATTATTTATTCAAGCATACTTAAAGATTCAATTTTTTATGTACGTTAGAATGCAAAGGATTCTAATGCTTAACGTAAGCTTGTTCTTTTTTCATGATTACATCAATTTATTATGATTTGTTTTTAAAACTAATATGCATCGGCTAACTCTATGAAACTATCTGCATTAATTTTACTGAATGAACTAAATCACTATAAAATCTTATACTACAAATTAAATAGTTCAGATGAAACGTATTACCTTTACTTAATGAATAAAATTTTTACAATCAAAATGACTTCACGATTAAGTATGACACTTATATGGTTGCTAAATTATGCAAAAAAAAATAAAAATGGCACATTGTACATCTTGTGTTTGTTTTCTAGCCTTCTTGAATTACTTCATTTTATTCATTTCTTTATCAATACGCTTTAGCATTGTATCTATATGACGATTGAAATTAGCATTCTAGTTTTATCTGAACTAAAATAATATTAGACGAGAGTTAAACTGATCAAGTCAAAGGCAATTAGAGTTTGAATACATAAAGAATTTATTGAATAAACTATCGTTCATATCAAATAAGTTAAATTTTTATATTGTTTTAAACCAGCGGTTCATATTTTTACACAGTTTTAGTTTAGAACGATGTATAGTCGAACAAATAACTCGTGCTTTTTTATATGAACATGGTATTTTGGCATATCTTCCTTGACATTCACTTAAGCACCTGCTTTTCAGTTCACACATAAAAAAGTGACCTGCTTCAGTCATTCTAATATTTCTTAAATGACTTGTAACACCTCATCGAAATTCAACTAATTTTAAATCAACTAAATTTTTAGCAACAATAGTGTTCTATAACTTACCATATTGACTAACTATTTCATACGAATGTTTAATATAGATGCGAAATAAAAAAAAAATAGCTTTTGAAATGAGAAACAAAACAAATTCTTTATCTTTTTACACTCGCATTGTCTTTGATTTGATCAATTGAGTTCTATGTCAATACTTATGTCGGGTAGTCAAAATCTGGATTCTAATTGTGACTTAAAAATCTATCAGAATATTTGATGTCATTTTTCTTAATCATGATTCTTTCTTTTTCTCATTATAATATGTACTAATAAAATAGCTATTCTTCAGCAAACACTCAAGAGCCGAAATTTTTTTAATTATTTGTTACCTGGTACTCATTGTTGTTCTTTTATTTCATAGAAATTAAATGTAAAATAAATTCAATTGTTGATGTAAAGAAACTCTCATCAAAAGTCCTTTTCTCTTTGATATATGTAAGATTACAATAAAGTGCACAATGTCCTCAGGAGAAGTACTCTTATCTGTTAACTCATTCTTTTTTTTCTCTTGTCATAGAAAAATTCACAGAACTGTCAAGAGAAAAAAATCTGAGAAATATCAAGCTGTGTAATACTGATAAAGAGACAAAATAAAAAAAATTAAGAATTTCTTGAATAAGTCAATTTAATATTGATTTAAAACTGTTATAAAACTAGATCATATAAATACAAATTTACATTGTTGCATAGTTCTCGTAGTGAATGATACATCATAGAAAAAACAATAGAAATGATTGCTTGCTGTTTAGTCAATTCTTTTCTTTTTTTTTCTTCTTTTTCATTTTTTTTTGTTCTTTAAAAGATCATCTTGACAACGGTTTTTATTTACTGTTTCTATGTCTGTTAGTCAAGGTAAGATAAATTACATACATATTTATAATGATATGAAGTAGGACTTACTATCAGACCGAACAAACAACAAGATATTTTGCAGTCTACAAAGGATTTCATATAGACCTTATATATTATCATCAAATGTACATGGAATGAATTTGACAAATTTATTTTTTACATATTTGCACAAACAAGAAAGACAAAATGCATGAAAAGAAAGAAAAATCAAGTCATGTCCTTCCTTTTCTATCTCTCATTTCTTCTAAGATTTTTTTCTTTATTCAAAAAAACAATCGTTCTTTACTTCCATTTGAAATAGATAGACGCCGCTGGCATTATTTCGTTTTCAACAACTTCTGTACTTCATTATATTGAATATTTACATAGTTCGTGTATCGCAAAAAAGAAAAAAAACGCCATTTTTCTTTTCTGTACATTTATTTTTAGATTATAAAAGGAGTTAAAGTTCTTTAGAAACTGTTCAGTTTGTAAACAATGGCAGCAACAATGTTGGATAAACCATTAGGTGATCTACGACGAGAAATAGCTGATCTTCGTCAATTAAATATATCACGTGATTATGATATTAATAAATTAGGTACAATTATAAATTTATCAAGAAATTCATTACGAGAAACTGAAATCTATCAACAACAACTTTTACAACAATTGCAACAATTTGAAATATCATTAGCAGATATTAATCAAATTTTACGAGCAAATATGAAACAAAAAGTACAACTTGAGCAACAACAACAACAACAAGAATCAGGTATAGAACCATTTTTTCTTTCATATATGCTTATTGGAATATCATAAATTTAAAGATAATGATATTGAGATACGTGCTAAACTAATGACACTAAATGCTGAAGCACTTGAATGTCGTGCAGCCGCTGTACAATTACAACAAGAAGCAAAAATGGCATTAATTAAAGCAGCTGAAATTGAAAAACGTGCTAATGATGAATTAGCTCAACAAGCACATGAAATGAAATTAAAACAACAAGAAATAGAACGAGATCGAGCTGCAGAACTTGAACGACGCGTACAATTAGAAGAAGAGCGACAACGATTGAATGTACATATAATGAAAGAACAAACAAGAATATGAAATTTATCTTTTTTTTTTTGTTGTTTTCTTTTTGAGGAACTTCAGCTTCAACAACAACGTGAACAACAACAAAAAGAACGTCTGTTAGCGACAACAAAAACACAACAACAACAAGATGCGTATGCTAGTTGGAAAGAACGCGAGTAAGCTTTTTTTTTTTTCATATGTATATTCAGTCGAAATTCTATACTTTTATTTAATATTGACATAGTTTCATGAATAATGATCAATATCCTCAATGTATTTTTCGATTGCCACCAAATGCTCTTTCAATTCCAATTGATGTAACATTTCTTAAAGTTTCTGAAACAGAAAATTTACTAGACAATCAAGAAGAACTTATAAGTACACCATTAGAAGTAAAATTCGATTCAACGGTATCATTTAAAACGATTTTTATAAAAAAAAACAAAAACAAATATTACAAAGAATCGTTTATTTTTAGGCATATCAACAACAAGCTATTGTAATTGCTATACCTTATATTATTAAACGATCAACTCATCGAGAAAATGTAATAAAAATTCGTCAATCAAATGGTATATGGATATCGATTGATACAAAAGAATCAGTATTTGATTCATATAAAGTTTGTTTAGTTTGAAACAAAACAAAAGAAAATTTTTTCCTGTTCTTTTTTTTTTCCTTGTATCTCAATAGGAAAAACGTTTTGTTGAATGTAAATTAAATCAATCAGCATCATGTGCAGTTGTATCACGTTTAAAACGTGATACAGTTCTTATTAATAAAAAATCATCTGGTCGATTTTTATCAAATGCTGATCCTCGTTTAACAATACAATGGCCGAAGAATGTTTGTTCAACAGATTTTCATATAAATCTTCGTGTTCTACCTGTTGATCTACCAACATTTACACAATTTTCAAAGAATTTTTCAAATGAATGTCATGGTTTATTAGCTGTTGGACCAATAATTGAACTTCATTATGATGATATTACTTTACTTAAACCAATACAATTTACATTACCCATTCTTGTACAAACTAAAAAGAAAGTCATACCAACTAAACCAACTACTTTAGAATCTCAAACATCTCAACAAACGACACCAAATCAACCATCACAACAAGAAATTATTTTACAACAACAACAATCTATTTTTAAATCTTTACTTGGTGAAGGTTAGTCAAACATAAATAATGTTTTTACTAATTATCAAAGAGAACTTTTTTTTTTCTTTCTTATAGATTTAAGTAATGAACGTCTTGTTCTTCTTTATTCTAATCATAATGAAAATATGTGGCATATTGATACAAATGTTAGTCTTATTGATTCTAAAATTCATGATATTATAACAACCGATATACAATATTTACATAGTCGAATGATTATTGCTCGTTATGATAAACAATTTATATCAACAAAACAATTACCAACAACAATTAATTTACTTGAACAATCACTTAATCAGCGTTCTGTTTCATTAATACTTCGTCGTCGTTTATCAAATCCAAATGAAATATGTTTTGTTTGTTGTTCAAATCAACGCATACAAACAATTGATAATGACCTTCAACAAGAAAATTTTGTTGATGACGAAGAACAATCTAAGCGACTTATTTTACAAGAAGGACAATTATTAGAATTACGTTTTCGTGGTAATGTTCTACCTCTTGAATATAATCAACAATCATATCCATTTGCATTTAATACGTATTTTCCATTTTACTTTCAAACAAATGTTTGTGAAATCGATAAATATTCTCAACATTTGTCACCATTTTTTTATGGTTTTGTACAAATATTTGCTAAAGAAAAAATTTCAAAACCTATTACGAAAGAACTTGACAAGAAAAAACAACAATTAGATATAGTAAGTTTTATTCTATATTTCTCATTTATTATTTCATTCAAAATTCATAGTTTTTCATAGAAAACATTTTACATAGAAATTCCATTAGTAAATTCTAATTTTGAATATGCTGTTTTCTATTTTTATGACTAACTTTGAGTTTATTATTTTAATAAAATAAAAATACTAGCAAATAATGAAACTTAATCAACATTGCAATTACATGGGATTTATAATGAAATTCATTATTTTTATTGATAGAAATAATTCATTTTGTGAAACAAGGTTCTAAAAGGAATGTTGAAGTATAGAAGTACAAAGTTGAATCGATAGACCATGCTTTTCGAAGATTGAGTATAAAAAATGATAAACAAACTGTCCTAAAATCGATAGAATAAAACAATATCGTTGTGATTAGTAAGAGTAACTACATGGTATTTCATATTTTAATCCTATCAGGATTTTGCTAATAGCTTGTTTTGTTTTTATGTTAAGATGAAACAAGAATTGCATGAAACAGATGTTTGTTTAGCAGAATTAGTTATTCGGTTACCGAAACCACGTGAAGGAATTCGAATACCTACTCCAAAAACATTGACAACATTTACTGGTGAAGGTAAATAATAATATTCATTAGATTTTGTTTTTTTTTTTTAATTTCTTTTCATTGATAATTTTTTTATATTAGGAATTTTAACTCCAGTACTTTTTCATGAAATATCAGCAAGTTTAGATGGTAATCAATGGCATCGATTAGCACGTCGTTTAGGTATGTCACGTATACGTATTGAAGCTATTGGACATGAATATCAAGATGATGCACCTTATTATATGTTACTTACATGGTTTAAACGTGCACCACGTTCAGTTGATAAAGATTTATTATTAATTCATGGACTAATGAATATAAATCGATGGGATATAGCACAAGAATTGCAATTAATGAAAGAGGCTAAACGTCAAGAACAAGACATATCTTCAAAAGAAGGTAATAAAAACCATGAAGAAAAAAAAGGAATTTTCAAAAGAATAAAGAAATTCTTTTTTTTTGTGTATTGAAATTTTTAGATCAAATAAAAATATTAAATGTGGCATTTAATCGTATTTGTCAGCATGATGAATGTGTTCGTATGTGGAAACAAATAGCAGGAGAATTAATGTTAAATAATGAAGATATTCAACATATTGAAGAACAATATTTATCACAACAAGAACGATGTTTAAGAAGTTTAGAACAATGGGCTTCAAATGATAGTCGAGCTGATATTACAAGTTTATCTCGTATAATAAGATCACTTGGTTTCAAGTCTCTTAGTCGTATGTCTATATATTGATTATATTGAGCTTTGTTCATAATAAAGGATTGTGTTTTCTTTTATTTTCAGGTGAACTTGACAATATGGCATAAAAATAAACATTTGAATAGTTTCTTGTGAATTTTGTATATTTATTTTATAATTATGTTTTAATAATAATATTGTGTTTTTTTTTCTTTACGTTTAAAGATTTATTGTTTCTTTTGATAGATTGAAAACAAAATAATTGTGAATAGAGTTTGCTTTCAGAAAAGAATGAATAGAAATTTATTTGAGTAGACGGATTATATAACTTGAAAGAAATTCGAGGTCGAAAATAATTGTATTGAAACAAGAAGAAGAAGAAGAAAAAAAAAAAACTAACGTGAATTGTAAGATTAGCGAGCCAAGTGAGACGTCCATCGAGGCTGAAAACTTCTCACCAGCGCAACGATAGAAGAAAATAGCTCGTGTACTGTAATGTACTTGAAAAGATATTTCCAAATTCACTGCTGCGTATGTACTAAACTCGAACTGTTATTATTAATTCATAAGATTTATCGAATTGCATAGTGTTACATTTATGGACGTTAAAAATATGTACAAAGTCATGCAGTTTTCTAATGTTCTTCAAAAAGAAACTGTCATCGTTGCAGGTATTGTTACAACATCTCCTGCAACACCAAATTCTTCGGTAGAAACCGCTGCAAGTTATTGAAAAAACGAATATAGTGATAAACCTGTTGAGTATATTTTCTTTGTTTTTCGTTGGATAGTTTTATGACAGTGATAAAATACAATGTGAACGTGAAAAGTACTCAAGAATACCGCACTCAAAAAGAGTAAAAGACTTTTTATTGAATAGTTGAAATTGTTTTTGTCGATAGTTCAAATGCGTACGTTGAGCTTATTTTCAAATTTCATAAGCAGATCATACTGTTAGTTTAATTTTGATATTCATTTTATTTAGCAAGATTCTTCTGATTATTTTTTTGTGCTTCTTGATAATCTGTCACGATTGTTTTTCATATACTCCCGCACATATTTCTTGTCTAAGACATGTATATTTTGGCTTTCTGGCAAGATCCTTGTGCTTCTGATTTCTTCTAATTTATGTATAGCTTCTGTTATCTGTCGACGTGAATATTTTCTTTCCTTGTTATTCTATTTTAATTTCATGTTTTTGATAAAATGCACACGAGAAAAGAAAATAACTAACAAAAAAAAACACCCAAGATTATATAACATCAGAGAATATGTTCTCCATTTCAACTGCTAATAGAGAAGAAAAATAGTTTCAAAGTCATGCTAGAAATCTTATATGCTCATCAAGAAGAAAAAAAATGGTAAAAATAATTCATTGTCTTCATATTCATCGGCTGACATCAATAATTACGGATCTGTTATCAACTCCTTGATTTTGATCCTATTGCTTGTGGAAATAGTAAAATCAGCTATAAATCGATTCACCATTAAGTCCACAAATGCATTTCTTCTAACGAATATATTCATTTACTGAATATTGGTATGCAAATCATAGATTATATGAAAACGATGACTTATGTTCATTAAATTGAATACAATAGCTATTCACTACCCTAGTCAAACTTTTTTTTTCATGCTCATGTAGTACATGAGTATCTTGGATCAGAAAAATCATGTAATGAGAGCCCATTTTGAGGCCTTTGGCAAGTTCAGGTGCTTGAATGTCTTGTTCAAGTTCGTTTCAGGATAATCACAAACAAAATGCTTCATGGAAAATATTACGAACTGCAAAGATGAACAATAATAGTCTACTCTCGTTGCAAGCTAATGATAGCAATACTCTATTGAATCTGATCATCTGTCACAACGATGAAAGCAGTATCTGTAAAGGGTAAAACTAATTTTAATAATATGTTATATGTGCTTTTTGTTTTTTCTTTCTTGAGTTTTACATTCAAAATGATTCGATTCATAAAAACAATTCACAGCTTACATAACAAAGTCTTTAACAGGTGAGCTTACAAGAAAACTTACTGCAGTGGACGTAAGTTGAAACCAGTGATATTTTTGAGGTTTTTTCTCGATGGTAATAGCTAGTAAAAATCTGGAAAAAACATTAGAGTAGCTGAGAGGATTCGCTTGCAAGATTCATGAACCTAAAAACTTCAATCAAGCTGTTTGAATGAGAGTGTTTGGAAAATCGAGACCCCCAAACTAGTTTTTGATATACATTTGAAGTTCTGTGAAAGTGATTTTACTTGATAGAGAGAAATGAGATGTCTTCCCTTCCTTCATGACTTTCGTTCATCGAATTGCATTCGATTGAATGAAGGTCCCAATGCATCAAACATTATGAAGTCATGAAAGTTTCTCATAAAAACAAAAAAAAAGTATTTTGAACCTTTTGTAAATTCAACGTATCTTGATGAAGATATGGCATGGAGGAAACTGAGACATCTCGTTTTGACCTATCAAATAAAATCATTTCCAACAACTTTCAAATGGATGTCAGAAAACTAGTTTCGGGAACCTTTGTATTTCAGGCATCTTCATCTAAGCAGCTTTTTTTGTTCGAGTTTTTAGATCCAACAAGTCTGACAGAGAAATCTTTCAACTACTGAGAATTTTCAAATTCTTCCTATTTATTATCATCGAAAACCAAACTCAAAAATCCAATCGCTCTAAACTATTATCCGTCACTATACATGAGTAAGTATATTAAGACATCCTCAATAGCACAGAGCATTCTTTCATCTTTAGCAGGAAAGTTTGGATTATTTTATTCGAATTGATCGTTTCAAAGATGCTCATTCGCATGATTTTCATGAATTCACCGTATGAGTTGCTTGAAATATGCACATAACTGAAGCAAACATTCAAGTGCTTATCTAGGAACAGAAAGTCATGTGATATGGACATGTCTTGAAATCTGTGTATGTCGAGTACATGAAAAGAAAACAAGTTCTACTTAGGATATTAAAGAATAAATAATGTACATATCATTGATCTTGAATATCAGACAAAAAAACTTGCAAAAGAAAGGAATAAAGAATCTTGTTTGAATTTAAAGAAGTCTTATGGCTCTCAATCAATAATCATTTAAGATTCTTTTCATCTCTATCTTTCAACCATGAAAAGAATAAATCTAAAAGAATTTTATTCAATGTAAACATCAAGTTTTTTGAATATTACACCATTTCATTTACGAAGGGACATATTTTTATTGGGTTCTATAAGAATATATGATTTTTGAAAAGACTAAAATTTAATAATTAAAGATCATGTCCAAGTTCATGTATTTCATCAATCATAGCAATAATATCATCTTTTGTTGTTGCTGGATTCGATATAATTGCACGAAAAAAATTGGGATGATGATCAAGACGTTGATAACCAACCATCATCGTACCATTTGTCATCATACGTTCTTTAATTCGAGGTGCTATCTTTAAAAAAAAAGACTAAAATTAATAACTGTAACAGAGTATCTAGTTACTTTATCTAATCGTTCTTTATATTCCAGTGATGTTTGATCAATATTTTGTAAACTGGGCGGAACGTACCAAAAACAAACGTTAATAAATGGTGGCTACAAAAGAAAATAAAATAGACTTTTTTTATAATTATGAAAATAAATTTTCATTACCTTCATAACCATTCGAAAAAATGGCTCACGTTTAGATATTATTTCATAGAAAAAATTGGCTTTTTTAAGTAATGTTTCAACATGTTCAGCATAACCTTGGTGACCACGAGCTTTCCATCCAAGCCATAATTTAAATATATCAATATGTCGACCACATTGAATGGTTTTATCACCTGTATCAAGTGATGTTTCATAATGTTTATCTGGTTGAAATAAATAACCAGCCAACATTTGATTGGCTTGCATAAGAATATTCTATAGAGAAAGTTATTGTTGTGTTTTTTTTTTACAATCGAAATATTTTCCAAAAACAATATTAGATTAGTTATTTGTTGCATATTTCGAATCATTATTTCTCTTTAACTTCAATAAACAATGCTTTTCAATCCTTTGTTAAGCCTCATTATTCCATATATCATCAGCTTACTATAATCTATTTCCATTCTTCTTTTTTGTGATTATTCATAATGGAATCAAACTCTTCTTCATGTCAATAAGAAAACAATGTTAAAATTAAAATATTTTTTCTGTAACTCTCATGTATTTTGTCGTTCCAAAAACGGAACAAAGAAAGAATCAAAAGAATAAAATAAAATTTTCAATAAAACATACCGAATGTCTTATTAAAATAGCTGAACATTGAAGATGAACTGACATTAATTTATGAGGATTCCATGTAAATGAATCAGCTCTAATAAAAACATATATATAAATTAGTAATTTGATTATATTCTAAACTAAATCCTTACTTGTCAATACCTTGAAGAAGATGTTTTGTTTTTGGTGATAACAATGCTGAACCACCCCATGCTCCCTAAATAGACTTATTTATTATTACAATAAAAAAAAAAAACAGGAAAACCAAACAATTTACATCAACATGAAGCCAAATATTATATTTACGACAAACAACTGCAATATTTTCAATAGGATCAAATGCACCAAAAACTGTTGTACCAGCTGTAATACCAACAAAAAATACTGAAAATCCTAATTCATGACAATAAAGTATTTTTTCTTCTATCTTTTCTGCTGACACTCGACCACTAGATAAATAAATAAAAACAAAAAATTCTTATTCAACAATAAGAATATTATTCATTCATTGTAACTCACGACTCATCTGGATCAACTTCATAAACATGTTCTGTTCCTATACCAAGTATGGCAGCAGCTCGTTTCATGGAATAATGACACTTAACAAAAGAGAATTTATGCAAAAAACCATCCAGTATCCTTTCGTAGTGAATGCACTAAGTTCATTGTACTCTTCTATCAGTATGTCATAGGAACCGTTGGATATGTTATGAGTTTTCAGCAATTGACTACGAAATACTTATACATGTTCAATATACTATTTTGTTGAAAACTTTTTTCATAGAATGCTATAGAAAACGAACAGATATTCAGATAATTCTCAGTAGGGTACCATGCTGATAAATGAATGAGTACATCTGGGTATCTGGCACTTATGAGGGAGTC